TTTTTTTAATCCTCAGGTTTTACTGTGACTACTGTGATACCTACCTTACACATGATTCGGTAAGTTTTGTTTGTATCATATCAAATTGTTGAAAGGCATTAGCGTGTGCGTGCGTGCGCGCGCGCGTGTGTGTGTGTCTTTTCTGTTCCAGTTAAATATCTCATGGTTTTACTCTGTTTCTGTTTAAGCCGTCAGTGAGGAAAACCCACTGCAGTGGCCGAAAGCACAAAGAAAATGTGAAAGATTACTACCAGAAATGGATGGAGGAGCAAGCACAGAGTCTGATTGATAAAACAAGTAAGAATATTATTGTCTGAATGTCTTGTGTCAAGAATAAAATTACTATAGGCTTTGGTTTGAGGTAAGATTAGGAAGCTTGAGTCATAGTCTCCTGATGACAAAACATGTTTTGATCAGGGGAGAAACTCTGTTCTGACTCTGAGCTCTTCTGGATACAGATCACTTGTCCAACAAGCCTATCGTAAATGTGAAAGTGCCCTCTAGTGGCAGTATCAGTGATGTTTTTATTTGCTTGTACAGTGGTCCGTCGTTTATCGCGGGAGTTGCGTTCTAAAAATAACCTGCGATAGGTGAAATCCGCGAAGTAGCCAACTTTATTTTTTACTGTTATTATAGATGTTTTAAGGCTGTAAAACCCCTCACTACACACACTTTTCTCAGACAGGCAAGAAGATTTTCACACTTTTCTCTCTTGTTTAAACACCCTCAAAGTTCAAATCTTCGTAGAAAAATAAGTCCAGTATTATATTATAATCCGAAAAATACGGTAACTTCTACCTTCCTTTAGCATGTCCAGAAGTCCAACTTTTTGTGCGATGGTGAGCATCTTCCTCTGCCTTTTGGGTGCTACTGCAGGTGCCTTTTACGGTGCAAAACGTTTCGTCGACATTGTTGTGCTTGTTGGGGAGAAAACTTACAAACATATAGTACAGCACTTCAGAGTCACACTGCTAGCGATCGAAGATTTATTTAAATTTGACGAGCTGAACACATTCTGTACTGGACAGGGGACACGGCATGGCGGAGATTGTTTGACGATTGTCTACAACCGATCAGGACGCAGAACACAATGCACTGTAATTAAAAAAAAAAAAAAGCATGCAAAATTGCACAAAAAAAATCCGCGAAACGTGAACCGCGTTATAACGAGGGACCACTGTACAGCAAACCGTCTATATGCTTAATGTAGGCACCGCATGCTCTTTTCCATATTTAGTAAGCTGGTTTAGAGGCAGACAGTAAAAGCCTGTTACATATCCCACACGGGCATGCTTTTGCACTCATGTAGGATATCCAAGTTCTCTGCTTAACCAGTGGGCCCTATACACCAGCTTACTTGGGCCTATGAGATTACATACCACTAATCCATATATAAAATGCAAAGCTCATGAGTGTTTTTGTCCACTGTGGAGGAATCTGTTGTTTTACAGACTAAGTTCTTCTTTGTGGATTTTAAACATGACACATGATTTAGTTTTTTGAAGTCACTTTTATCTTACTTCCTCTCCCATTAAAAAAGATCCCATTTGTTGGACTCCATATGTAGAGCATTGCACTGAAGTTAGATTGGGATCTGTACAGGATTCATAATCTTCATGAAAAATGTCTTTTTTTT